GGATGTTGGTACAAGTTCTGGCTTTATCTTCTGGACCACTTTTGTTGTTGTTGTTGATTCTTCAATTCAGTGGATTTTGACCATACTCCTAAGAGCCCACTTTATTCTGGCTGTCAACTCCCACCTGAGTAGGTAAACTGGGCAGAGCCTGGGGAGCCAGGAGAGTGAGGACTGCTAAATGGGAATGATCTCCTGGAAGACAACGTACATACCCAAACAACATCTAAGGAGCCGATTCTGTTGGTCAGAAATGAGTCTGCTTCCAGAGGGCCCTCTGTAAACCAGGCTGAAAATCAAAGATTTGTGTTTGGACAATAGGCCTGGGGTGGGGTGGTGAATAGCTGGGGAGACAGTTTCAGGAACCAGGCTGATTAGATTCAATGTTTGGATGGGTATGATTTGGAAAGACAACTTTGAAAAGTGGTGTCAAGTTGTATTTTCTAGAGGGTCAGACCCAATGCTGCCAAACAAGCAGATTGTGTCAGAACCATCTATTATCCACATTATTCCACCAGTGGCTCACTCCCCTGATAGCATTACACTTGAAGAGACAAGAGCTTTTCTTCAATCCAGATTCACTATGGCCATTTGCCAGTCAAGGTAGTCATCAGATGCTGGTAACTGCATCGGCTAGCATCAGGAGGCCCTAATTACCATTTTGCTGAAAAGCCCCCTTCACTCTGAGAAAATATAAGACAAGTTCAGCCAGTTTGAATACACAGTGTTTAGTCTCATAGACTTGTCCCTGCTGTTAAGGTACCTGTTGCCCTACGTGGGCTGTTTGCCATGGCTGGCTGCCCCCACCCCACTAAACGTCTTTTGATGTCACGGAACCAGAACCCTGGGAAAGTGGTTTAACACGATTATGAAGAAAACTGGTAGTTAAGTTGATTGTGAGTCAGGTTAGGATTTTTGTAACGATTCAAACAGGTAGAATTATGGAGACAGTTGGCCTTGGTCTCGTTGAATTCTCACAGCCCTGTTGTCCTCCTTTTCTGAGTTACCTGTTTTGTCTCATATCCTGGGAAATCACGATGAAATGATATTGGTGGACGTCAATTGGCAGTGGGGGATGGAGGGTAAGGACTGAGCAATAAATACCTCATCCTCCTGCAGGCTGAAATTTCCTGAAACATTTTAAATTAGAAAATTTGGATGGACAGAAAAATGGAAATTGCAGACCTACCAAAGATCTTTTGTCTGAAGATATTTTTTTAAAGTACAAAATTTTAGGATAATTTGCTATTTTATATAGATATTTTTTTCTACAATGAAAAGATGAAGGTTAGAAAAGATAAATGTCCAGATTTGAATTTAGAAATTCAGATACGTTAAATTTGATTTTATCTTAGATGCCAAGTAGGAAATGGCTACTTTGTTATTGTGAAGAGGCTATCATATTTGAATATTCATCTTAGATTTTTACTACCCAGAAGACTCAGTATATATATATATAGTGGTGGAAGTTTTCTCCCTCACAGACAGCATCCTAATGGAGATGCATGACTCTGCCAATAGTGTTGCTGATGTGAATATTTGCTTCAAAATTTAAGCCAGCAGCTCTGGAAATTGCTATAAGTACTCTAAAATAATAATATTGTGAGTATTTATATTATCATTTCTTTTTTTAAAGTTTTTTTTAATATAATTTTATTTATTTTTATTTTTGGCTGCATTGGGTCTTCATTACTACGTGCAGGCTTCTCTCTAGTTACGGCGAGCAGCGGCTACTCTTTGTTGTGGTGCGCGGGCTTCTCATTGCAGTGGCTTCTCTTGTTGAGGAGCACTGCCTTCTAGGCGCACGGGCCTCAGTAGTTGTGGCACATGGGCTCAGTAGTTGTGGCTTGTGGGCTCTAGAGCGCAGGCTCAGTAGTTGTGGCGCATGGGCTTAGTTGCTCCGCGGCATATGGGATCTTCCCAGACCAGGGCTTGAACCCGTGTCCCCTGCACTGGCAGGCAGATTCTCAACCACTGCACCACCATGGAAGCCCTATCATTTCTTATAAGCATGTTTTTCGTTTTTATCCTACATCTAATAGAAAAATGACTTACAATTTGTGTAATTGTGGTAATTGGAAAAAGCTGTTGAGATGTGAGGTTTCCAAAATCAATAGGAGCAAAACGGATGTGATCATTGTTCATATCACACTTGGTTTGAAATATGTAGTTTTAATGTTATATTATCTTCATATGTTTAAGTGGTTTTAATGTTGTCACTAAAATGGTACCTAATTAATACATTCATGCAATGTATAAAAATGTACTGAGTACCACAAATTCTTCTGCTGCTATGTTTATTTATAGCAATGCACACTACTTAATGTGTGCTTTTATTTAAAAACCATTTTTGTAAATGTTTGCTATTTGCACTTTGAGGATAGCCACAATCTTACACCACAATTCAGTATGAGAGATCATCAAAACAATTAGCTTAGAAGTACCTCTCCATTTGCCAAAGAATTTAAATAATTTTTGACAGTTATGGGTAAGGTTGCTCATAGATTATCTTAGGTCAATTCTGTAAAAGCAAATCTGAGACAGGGATTGTAAGAACATGTGATTTGTTGGGCAGTGCTCTCAGGAGAAGGATGGTAAGGGAAGCAGGATGGAGGAGGGGAAGATGTCTGTGGCAGAAGATCTCAATGGAAACAGGTTACAGTTTGCTCCCACGGTGAAACTCTGGAGCACGAATGGCATCACAGAGTTGGTCTCATCTTGAGGCAAGTGGCCTGGCCTTCTGTACCCCCATGTCAGCCAGTCGTTGGTTGAGGTTGGCTCTCAAAGGTGGTGGGAGAATAGCCTCCTGGGTGAGGCAGTTCCCATCTGGCCCAGGACAGTTCTTCAGAGGAGGAAGGTACATCTGTGAATTACCAGCATTTTGAAGACAGGAATTCTAGCTCATCAAGGTGATCTAGCCTGGCACCAACAGCATCCTTTATATAGATAAATGACAATTTAAAAGAACAGAGAGCTTATTGGACCTAGATTCTGTCGCTTCCTCCTCCCCAGCACATACACCCCTACACGTCTATCCTTGTAATCAAATAAAGATGGAAATTCAAACTGTATCCAGGTCCCTTTGATTACAGAAACAGTTTAAAAGCATTAATGAGGACATCGACTCTGGGTCTATTCCTTTTTCTGATTGCTTGCCATGTAGAAATGTGGCTAACTCTGCTATTAAAATGCATTTATGTTATCATGAATGAAATGAGTTCCTTGAGAGAGGACCTGAGATACTGTCCCTGAAGACTTGAGGGTGTTTTAAATGCCAAAACCACTCAGGCAATCCTTTCTCCAGGCTTAATACTCCTATTTGAGATGCTTTATTTGCAGAAGCCTTTGGCTTAACTGATTCAGAGAGACCCCAAACACTCAATGTGTTCAGTGAATGAAATCTCAAATTCTTTCTCTGCAATATATTATCATGTCATACAGAAGAAATGTAGTTTGCTTCTTCCTAATGGAACACTTCCAGCCCACTTTTTCTTCCTATTATAGAGCTGTTAGAGAAGGTTATCTTCTTTGAAAAATCATTTTGTTTCTTTCTTGCTACTTATCAGTATCATGAAATACTTTACAGAAACTGGGTAAGTTGGATGAGAATGGTAGAATTCCCATTAGTGTCACTGATTTAAAGAGGTTTTTATTGTTTTAAATTGTCAAATATTTTTCAAGGGCATAGAGGACATATTGTAAAAATTCTTTAAATTGCACAACTAACTTTAAAGTAGAAGGCCAATGATAGAAATAAACAATAGCAAGTCTCCATCTTGGATCAAAGAAATATTTGTTGCTAATAATATTCCCTCTGATTGCATCTGTATTTGATTATTCCAACTTATTAAACAGGAATGATGATATGCAAATAAACTCAGAATAATAAAGAAACATTAATTCAGTCTAGAATTCAAGCTGATATTGTAACCTTTTTACTTTGCATAGGGCTTTGCTAATACACAAACCAGGCCAGTACCTTGGAAAGTTCTGAACTAAAAAAGGTATTTTGGAGCATGATGGATATGTTACTGGGAAGGTGACTTGAAGGGATCCTGTTACAAATGATTTCTTTAGTGATCTGAAATTTAATGCCACTGGTTATCTTTTTACTACCAATATCTAGTCTTACCTCCACAAAGCAAGAAGCTGAGCGGGTAAAATAAAAGATAATTTTAGACTTAATTTTTTTTTTTTGGCTGCGTTGTGTCTTTGTTGCTGCGAGTGGGCTTTTCTCTAGTTGTGGTGAGGCGGGGGCTACTCTTCCTTGTGGTGCGCAGGCTTCTCATTGTGGTGGCTTCTCTTGCCGCGGAGCACAGGCTGTAGGTGCACGGCTTCAGTAGTTGTGGTGTGCGGGCTCAGTAGTTGCGGCTCATGGGCTCTAGAGCGCAGGCTCAGTAGTGGTGGTGCATGGGCTTAGTTGCTCCACAGCATGTGGGATCTTCCTGGACCAGGGCTCGAACCCGTGTCCCCTGCATTGGCAGGCAGATTCTGTGCCATTGTGCCACAAGGGAAGTCCCTAGACTTACTTTTAAAGTCAACCTTAATATGTGCCTTCCTCAGGCCTTGGTTTCCTTTGTGTATTGTTTATTTGACTCTCTACATTTGTGTTTTCCTCCAGTCTAGAAACAGGAAGTTTGTTGAATTAGCAAAATTCCTTTTGAATCTGTAGAGTTAATAATTTATTATTTCATTCATTGGTCATAATTTTTAAAATATTGTTATAGGCAAGATAGAATAAATATTTTAAAAATATTATGTCTCATTGTTAAACTTCTTCAAATTATGCCTGAAACTCATGGCAAGACCAAATAAAGGATTGAAAGAACCCATTGTGTTATAATTTAGAACTTTTTCTATAGGAGACATTTAATTTGGCTAATGTATTTTTTAAAAAGTCTTTATTTAATATAATCATTATCATTCACTAACAGCTTAAACAGTTTGAGGTCCCTCAAACTCCATGATTGCTTAAAGTGTTGTGACATTTTTATTTCTTCCAGAAACTTCCAATTAAGTGATGAAGACCACTGGTTTTACCAGGCTCTTGTGGATCAGTATCCTGGGGATCTCAGTGGCAGAAGGACTCTGTATCTGGACGTGTTACAGAGACATTTTCCTCACAAATCGAGGCATGATTTGGTGAGTGCTGGACCCTATATGCTGGCAAGTTAAATTGTTTTAATGATTGATAATTATTGAGCAAAATATATATATATATACTTTAAATGGTGCTCTAAAATGATTTTTTTTTCTGCACTCTAGAAAATAATAGGGTTATAGTTTGAAAGTCTACCATTTTTCAGGTCAGTGTGGTACATAAAAAGGTGGGAGATCCCTCTGGCCACATGTACTCTTCTGTGGCTTACTTGCCACAGAGAGCTTCACCATGGTCCCCTGGGTTGCTCTGCTAGTGTTGACCTCCAGGTGTCTGTACATTCACCTGCCCATTTCAGAGGTTCTGCCATCTCTGAGTCTTGCCTGAAAATGGGGTGCCTGCTCCTGCATTCACACAGCCTACCACACCTCAGTCCTTCTAGTCGTGGGGAAGCCAACACTTGCCTTGGGAGCTGGTGCCTACCTACACCATCCCCACCACAACTCCACTTGATCCCCCTAGACGGGTCTAAACACAAATGCCCCAAATTCATAACTCAGAGTCCTGGCTGAAATTTCCCTGGGAAGTTATGGTTACATTCTTTAGTGGACAAGGTCACATAGACAAGGAAACAGAAGTTACCATGTCACCAGTGAATTTCATAGTAACTCACTTTAAAACATATATGTAAACAAACATGCATAGACTCTTACCTTTTTTTTAAAAAATAAATTTATTTATTTATTTTTGGCTACGCTGGGTCTTCGTTGCTGCGCACAGGCTTTTCTCCAGCTGCGTCGAGCTGGGGCTACTCTTCGTTGTGGTGCATGGGTTTCTCATTGCAGTGGCCTCTCGTTGCAGAGCACGGGCTCTAGGCACGCGGGCTTCAGTGGTTGTGGCACGTGGGCTCACTAGTTGTGGCTCGTGGGCTTCAGAGTGCAGGCTCAGCAGTTGTGGCACACGGGCTCAGCTGCTCCACGGCATGTAGAATCTTCCCGGACCAGGGCTCGAACCCATGTTACCTGCAGGGAAGTCCGACTCTTACCTTTTAAATAGGCCATGCTATAAAATATTATCATATACTCTGCATTTTGTAATTGTTTTAAATCAAGCAAGTAACAATACTAACGTGTATAGAATTTATCCTATGTCAGTCATGTGTAAACTCCTGTAATGCACATAACAGTGGATGAGAGAAGTACTATAGTTATCCTTACTTTTCAGGTGAAGAAACTGAGGCAAAGGCCACACAACTAGTATGACCAACCTCTCTTATCCTTTCCCACCCACCAACCCCCACCCAATTATTTGTTTTAATTCTGACCTTTATTTTATAGCAAATCCTTGTTGTGTAAAAAACATGTTATATAATAATTCATTCTGGATTTTACAAAACTCTTAATTTACTAAATTAGATCTTTCTTTTTATTCCCTATAGATTCTGTTTGCTTCTGTGACCAGCTGTCATTTTTAACTGTGTAGATTTTTATATTTGCCTACTATTAATATGATAAAGATTTTTGCATTTACTTCTTACATTGGGATAATTAGTATGCATTTCTGAATGGTGTATACTTCCTTAATGTTTGCCAAGTTTTAAGCATATTCTTGGCTTAGGGAAATAAAGCTAAGAAGTTTACCAAACAGAATTTAGAAGCTGATATTTGGTTTCAGTGAAGCCATAGCCCGTTTCATTATGTACTTAATTAACCATACCTAAGTTATTTTTTTTAGGTAGGACCAACCTTATGCTGCTTGCTAGCTTCTTTTCTCACATCGCTTAGGGGTTAAGTAATGTATCAAATTCAGAGATGTGGTCTATACTGGCAAAATAAAGAATTATTTAGAGCACTGACTCTCAATTGCAGGAGACACACCTTTATATAAGTATTTCAGAATCACCTACAGAGATTTTTCGAACTACTCAGGCTATCTCCCGTCCTGTTCTTTCCCTCAAGACTCAAATCTCCCAGGGTTGGGATTCACTGGCAGCAGGAACTATTGGTACCTATGTAAGAATATCACGTCCCTCAGGAGTGTGGGATGGGAAGGGCTACTGTCATTGCTATAAATACTTCAAGTTTAGATGTCTGAACATCTGATTGTTTCAGTAATCAAGGGCAAACTGAGTTTTCAGGATTATTGTGGCAATTTTTAATGTTTATTAGCATATATCTAACTGAAGCACCTGGAGTCACTGTTAATACAGCAAAGCTGATTTAAAGATGGAGTATTTTTGAAATTATATGTAGGGGAGATCATATTTTCTGCTCATAGATTCATTGCTATATAGGGGTAGAAGTTGTTTTAGGGCTGTCTGGTCTGACTCCATCCTGTATAAAACTTAAAAACGTTTAATGACTGGTCCTCAGTCACCAGTTAGCCATGGGCTCAGAACTCTGGGACTGGTACTTGGTCCTGGTTGTTGTATTTACTATTAAGATGTTTGTCCCTTATTTTTCAAAATCATTGGTTATAATTCATTTTATTCACTTTTGTAACAATGACATAAAGCGTAGGCTCAGTTTCATAATAAGCGTTTACCACCTGTTATCTTTTCAGGTCGAACATGAAAAATATTGTGACCAATATCGCTTTGCTAAGGAGCAGCGAAAGATCCTGATATCAAGTTGGAGTAAGAATAGGAGAGACTTTATACAGAAGGCTGTGCTGACAGTGGCCGAGGCCTGTGCAACTCATGAAATGGAAAACATGTTGGTTAAGGATAGGAAAAAGCAACAGGAAGTGTGTGCTGATCTGAAAGCCAAGGTGAGACGCTTTGCAGAAGGTGCTTTAGTATTTGCCTGGGTATTCACTTAAGAATTCATTTTTCCCTTTTGTTCAATTCCAACCTAAAGTCCCATTTCTCTAAAAAGCCTATTTTGAATACAATTGTTAGTTCAAACCATATGAAATTGAAATTCTTTTAGATCAAAAATTGTGAACAATCAACAATTTCATACGGTTCAACCTGAAGTTACTATAACAGGAGGTGAGTATTGAAGTTTTGATTGAGGATGTCCAATACCAACCACAAATGCTGTACATCAGAGTGAGGTGCTGGATGAAAATGCAGAATGTAATTATAAAGTAAATGTCTGACGCTGCTTCAGACTCATGGACCTCTCATTCACATTAAAGATGTTTTTTAAAAAAAGGGTCAAATTATGAAGAGGAGGGAGGATTTGTGAAGAGAAACATTGAGGAGAGCTTGATGGGCTGTGTGTGAGCACTCAGCAGAGTGAGAGGGGGAGCAGACAGGGTTTTCCTCCTGCTCAGACCCAGCAAGGGGCCTCCAGGATGACTTGGAGAGTTGAGTGTGTAACCCCTGTAGTTGGAGGCTTGAGCACTGGTGTCTGACGCTTGCAGGGAAATATAGAGGAATTACGTTAGTGGCAGAACTGAAAACAAGAGTGGCTGCTGTGCCTGGTCACGGGTGCATGAGTTTTGGAAGCCCCATGTGAATATGGCCTCTCTAGGAGCGTTGGAAGGGCCACCAAACATGAATTGTATCATGCCTTAAACTTATGAGTAAGGAAAATAATGATTTGGGGTGGTGCCAAATCCTTACTGCTAATGTGAGGTGAATTTTTGAGTGGGTAAAGGTTGCCCCTAAGGTGACCTGCTTATTTTGCAGGATGCCTGGGAGTTGTGATTTGGCAATCCCCCTTATACTTAAAGAGTAGAATGGTCTGAACCATACAAACTGGAGAAGCTGAGACAGGACCCGGGAGCTAACTAATTCCCCGAGCAGGGGACTGGTCGGACCTCACAAAATTGCCAACAATATTATTACCCATGAAACTGTTGAACCTGGAGTTGGTGACCTTAGCGAGCTCTCTGAAACTTAGTAGTTCTGTAACTGCAGTATAATGCCAACTGCTTGTTTGTGGTTGAGAAATAAAGATACATGTGGCATACGCACACACACAGTTGTATTGAGTTACAGCATACATACAGTGCCCAAATATTAATTTACTGATAAATAACATGGTAGGATGATGATGGTGCAACAAGAAATTATATTCTCTTGATAGAAAAAATAAGCTGGTAGATGTTATATTATAGCAGTTAATAGCATATAGAAACAAATGTCTCTATTTTAAAACATTAGAGGAAAAATGTCTGCTCTGCATTTTTTTCTTTTTTTAATATTTATTTATTTGGTTGTGCCAGGTCTTAGTTGCGGCAGGCGGGCTCCTTAGTTGCGGCGTGCATGTGGGATCTAGTTCCCTGACCAGGGATTGAATCCGGGCCCCCTGCATTGGGAGCGCAGAGTCTTAACCACTGCACCACCAGGGAAGTCCCTGCATTTTTTTAAACAAAAATATATTTCTTTTGACATTGCATAAGCTTAGGACCTAAAAGCAATAGAAGCTGCATCAAGCCCTATCTACCATGGGCTACAGAGCTAATGTGTGTTTCTTCTCCATCTGTGACTGATTAGGAACACTCAGTGACTAAAAAAAAAAGGTGGAGGGTAGTCAGGGGCCACGACAAGTCCTTATATACTCCTAGTCTGTTTATACTCATTTTGCACACATTATCATTAGTCCTTAAACTATGCTGTAGGTGATATTTTCTTTTTATTGTATTACCTTGAGGTAAACATACATGCAGTAGAGCACACAGAACCTAAGTGTGCTATTGAATAAAGTTTTATAAATATATGCTTCCCGTAGAAATACCATCAGGGTCGAGGTATAGAACCGCTCAGAAGACTCTCTCATGCCTTTTCTCAGTATATACTGGCCCCATTCATGACCACTATTCTGAATTCATCACCATAGGTTAGTTTTGCTTATTGGTGAATTTCATATGAATCGAATCATACAGTATATACTCTTTTATACTTCTTTCACTCATCATATCTGTGAGTTTCGTCCTTGTTGCATGTTGCAATTATTTGTTCTTTTTTATAGCTGGGTAGTACTTCCTACATAATATACATGTACCACAATTTATTTGTATGTTCTCCTATTGATGGGAATTTGAGTTGCTTTCAGGTTTTTGCTGTTATGATAATGGTGCTATGAACATTCTTGAACATGTCTTATGGTGGTCATAGGCCCTCATATCTCTTGGATAAGTACCTAGGAGTGGAATCGCTGCATCATAAGGCTCATGGGTGTTTCACTTTAGTAAAGACTGCCAAATAGTTTTCCAAAGTGGTTATATAAATTTGCAGCCACTTTCAGTTGCTCCATATCCTCACCAACATTGATGTTGCCAATCTTTCATTTCAGCTAATCTGATGGATGTGTAGTGGCACCTCATTATGATTTTCATTTGCATTTAGAATAAAGATATTGAGCAGCTTTTCTTATGCATATTGGCCATTTGAATATTCTCTTTTGTGAAATGGCCACTTAGGTCCTTTGCCCATTTTTCTATACCATCGCCTGCCTTTTTTACTTACTCATTTGTATGTTCTTTATATATTCTGTATGCAGGTTCTGTTTTTTTCTCCCAATCTGTAACTTGTCTCTTCACACTCTTAACATTGTTTTTTCATAAACAAACCTTCTTAATTTTAACGAAATTCTGTTTTTTTTAATTTTAAATGTCTTTGAGGTATAAGTTATATACTGTACAAATCACCCTTTTTAGTGTACAGTTCTGAGTTTTGACAAATGCCTGACACGTAACCTCCCCTGCAGTCAGGATGTAGAACTGTTCCATCACTGTCAGCCATCCTTCATGCCTCTTTGTAGTCAGCACCTCACCCACCTTCAGCCTTTGGCAGCTACTGATCTCTGTCCCTATAGTTTGCCTATTCTAAAATGTCATATAAATGTAAAGTATGCGCTTTTTTGAGTCTGGCTTTTTTCGCTTAGCATAATGCCTTTGAAATCCAGCCACGTTATTGTGTATGTCAATAGTTTCGTCGTTTTTATTGCTGTGTAGTATTCCATGATATGGGTTTATCACAGTTTATCCATTCACCAGTTGTCTTCAGTTTTTGGCAATTAGTGGCACTTTGCTTATGGTGGGAGTAGGCTTCAGGCTTTCCCTGTGAACCTGAGCCCAAGAGAGAGACTTGCTCCTCTTGCGCCTTCTGCTGCAGTAGGTTCTTACTAGCCCCTTGCTACCCTGGCTGGGGAAGAGGCATTCTGCTTTCTTGGTTCAGCCTCAGTCTTGGGCAGGACCTATGTCCCTGGGTCTTGGGGCCAGGACCTACTCAGTAGCTGTGCCCTCCTCCCCAGGGCAGATGAACTCCAGACTCGCCTCTGGTCTTACTTGTTCCTGTGAGGGAGAGAGCTTGCTGCTTCTTCCCCAGGAGAGGAAGATTTCTTTGTTCCCTTTCCCCAGCTGTAAAGGGTCTATACTTGCGCCCTGGTGGGTTTGCTGCTCTGCATCCCTCCCCACCCACAGCGCCTTTTGTTCAGTAGGGTTTTGTTCCTCTCTCGCTGATTTGCACACCCATAGGGGACTTCCTCTGCTCGCTTACCCTGACCTCCATCTTTCTTAGGAGCATTCTGTGAGGTTTGTAGAGAAAAGCCTGTGAAGGGGTGTAAATTCCCCTTACGTCTGTAGCTTCCATGGGTTTTATACAGAAGCTAACACTCTGCCACAGCAGCAATTGTTAAAGTGTAACTATGGGATCATCACAGAGTTTTACCTGCAATCTTCTTATCCCTTCTAGGATGGCCTTGTCTTTCCCAGGGGCTCTACCTCAGGTAAGCCAGTCTGTCTTACCAGAAAGGTAAGACATCTACCTTTCTTTAAATCTCAGGCTAGTTTATTGCCCCATGACCTCTTCTCCGATGGGTTCAAGAAAAGTTTTGATGTTGTAGGCTATTCAGCTTTTTCTTGTGGTTAAAGTTGGAGCAACATTTTCCTGCTTTCTGGAAGGTCCTAATGAAATACTATTTATCAATCTTTTATGTGCTCTATTTAAGAAATCATTGGCTAGTGGCATGGGGTCATTTTCAAAGGTCTGAGATTTTTCTGCCCAGCAAAGCTCTTGCCAGAGGTTTGGGCTCCACCCAAAACAGTGAGGTGGAACAGCAATAAATGGTAACCTGAAGGTGGAAGAGAATTAGTTAAAGGAAAATGTGTATGGGGAATTTTCCAGGAACAGTCCAGACAAGAAAACTGATAGGAGGGCAAGAGTCAGCATTAAGCACCTGCCGGGTTTACTGGGGACAGCATCAGTCACCAGTCCAATGAGAACTCTGCTTCTCCCCTTTACCTCTCCTCCCCTTTTCCCTCCCACTCCTGGACTCTGATGGCCTAAGCATGGAGGGAATGAAAGGAAATGTTATCTTCTGAATAAAGAGGGAAGAGTTGCTTAATCTCTTAGAACTAGACAATTTAATTTTGAATCAAGACTGTATTTTGTGACTTAAAGTGACTGTGGGACCCTCTGTAACCCAAGAGTGAGCCATGGGTTCTGCTTAGTTTTCATCTAGTGACAGGAGAAACATCTGAATGGGGGACAAAAATAAGGCAGTATTTTGATTATTTCCCATACATGATGCTGCCCAACGTATCAGGCGTATTCTGTGGAGAGCCCCCAACATCTCAGGCATTCGAATAGATGCTTTATAGGCATTTTCTGATATTGCCCTCAATGACAAATCCAAGTTAAAATGTGCAAGGGGTGCTGTAGAGCACTCACCCATGAAATCAGGAGCTGGGGTCAGTGGAGACAACATAATATGGAGTCTCCACAGAGACACATGGTCACAATATGGTGAACAACTATCTCTGAACTTTTGGAGTTGCAGCCTCCAAAGAGTAAATGTGGGCAGAGAGTGGAGAAA